CAGGAGACACATTTAAAAAAAAAAAGGGAAGTTCTGAAAAACTAGCGTCAGAAACAAACTGATAATTAGAACAACTTCAAAAATTTCAGGAAGTCAGACTTCTGAGTAATATATGAACTAAAGGAATAGTATATAGAATCTTAAGCAAAATGGAATCCTCTTAATTATGTGGTATCAGGAAGCTGCAGGACTTAACAGACTACAGTCTTTTAAATAAATGGCAAGGTACTTCATTCAAAAAGTGGTCGGGGGCTTCCCTGGTGGCGCAGTGGTTGAGAGTCCGCCTGCCAATGCAGGGGATGCGGGTTCATGCCCCAGTTTGGGAAGATCCCACATGCCGCGGAGCGCCTGGGCCCGTGAGCCATGGCCGCTGAGCCTGCGCGTCCGGAGCCTGTGCTCCACAATGGGAGAGGCCACAACAGTGAGAGGCCCGCGTACCGCAAAAAAAAAAAAGAAAAAAAAAGTTATTGTCTTGTGTATATGTCATTCTGCAATCATATTATAAAATATATTACATTAAAAATATTATTTTAATATTTAGTCACATTCATATATGTGTCCCTTATCCATTCACTTAAACCATTGTATAATATTCCATTGCATAGATATACCACAATTTTTTTGGTCCATTCCTCTGTACAGGAAATTTAGGTTATTTTCATTTTTCCAAACAATGTCACAGTCCACATTCACATATGTTTCTTTGTCCACATGTGGGAAGTTTCTCGAGGGCAGTGATCTTTAAACCTTTTATCACATTCAATAAAAATATTTTGAGCATGTACCCACAATATATGAATATGGTATCCTTTATAAATTATAAATGTATATAAACTACTGTACCAAACTAATATGTTCATCGTAAGTAATACAAAAAAGAAATATAAAAAGGATGAAGAAAGTTTTAAAAAACAATATTTTACAAATATTTTTATTCAGTAGTGGTACAGAAGTCATTCATGTACATAATGTGATTGTATGCTTCCTTGGTTGCTAAAAATCTCAATTTAAGATTTACTGTCAGTTCAGTTTATTTCAGTCCTGGTCTTGATGACTGCCATACTGAAAAAACACTCCCTTTAAGGAGGGAGTGTAGCTGGGACATGATTGGCCATAAGTAGATTCAGAAAGATATCTTCATTTTAAAAATTGTGGAGTTTTCCAAAAATGGTACTGGAAATCCACATCCAAAGGACTGACGTTGAACACCCGCCTCACTGATCCCATATATAAAAGTTAACTCGATGGGTCATAGACCTAAATATAACTAAAGCAATACAATTTCTAGAAGAAAAATAGGAATGAATCTTTGTGACCTTGGATTAGGCAGTGGTTTCTTATATATGAAACTAAAAGCACAAACAACAACAATAAAAATACTAATAGGCTTCATCAAAATTGAAAACATTTGTGCTACAAATGATGCCATCAACAAAGTGAAAGACAACCGACAGGACGAGAGAAAATATTTGCAAATCATATATAAGAGACTTATATTCCAAATGTATGAAAATTATTACTACTCAATAGTAAAGGGACAGATAACCCAATTTTTTAAATGGGCAAAGTATTTGAATAGACATTTATCCAAAAAAAATACTGTTGGACAAAAAGTACATGAAAAGATGCCCAGCAGCATTATTCATTAGGGAAATGTGAATCCAAACAACAAGATACCCCTTCACATTCACCAGGCTCTAATAAATAAATTAAAAAAAAAAAACAGGTAATAAAAAGTGTTGGTGAGGAGGCAGATAAATTGGAATCCTTATACACATCTGGTGCGAATGTAAACTGATGCAACCACTTTGAAAAACTGTTTCTCAAAATGTTAAACATAGAGTTACCAGATGACCCAGCAATTTTTCACCTAGGTATACACCCACAAGAAATGGAAATATATGTCCACTCGAAAACTTGTAGATGAATGTTCATAGCAGCATTATTCACCATAGACAAAATGTAGAAACAATTCAAATGCCCATTAACTGATAAACAAAATGTGGTCTATCCATACAATGGAATATTATTCAGTGGTGAAGAGAGATGGAGTACTGCTATATGCTGTCACATGAATACACCTTAAAAACATTATGCTAAGTGAAGGAAGCCAGGCACAAAGACCTCCTGGTGTATGATCCCATTTACATGAAATGGCAGGCAAATCCACAGAGACAGAAAGGAGATTAGTGGTTGCCAAGGGCTGTGGGGAGGGGGCATGGAGAGAGACTACTCACGGGCTTTGAGTTTCTTTTTGGAGTGATGAGAACTGGACTCTTGTGATGGTTGCACAACCATGTGGCTGTAGTGAAATCACTGAATTGCACACTTTAAAGGGGTGAATTTTGCGGTATGTGAACTATAGCTCATAAAGCCTTTTTTTAAAAAAATTTTTATTGAAGAGGAACAAATATCTCTGTCCCCTCGTTATAATTTTTTTTTTTTTGCTGTATGCGGGCCTCTCACTGTTGTGGCCTCTCCCGTTGCGGAGCACAGGCTCCGGACGCGCAGGCTCAGTGGCCATGGCTCACAGGCCCAGCCGCTCCGCGGCACGTGGGATCTTCCCGGACCAGGGCACGAACCCGCGTCCCCTGCATCGGCAGGCAGACTCTCAACCACTGCGCCACCAGGGAAGCCCCCCTCGTTATTCTTTAAGGAACTGGTCCCATCTTGTTTTCTCAGCTGGTTCCCACTCTCCATCCCTCCTCCCATGATCACTTTGTAGCTTAGATCCTGGTGCTCCTAAGATGTCAGGCCAGCTTGAAGCCTAGTGGACCCTAGGATTTGCCTGATCAGAGCTCTTAGAGCACAATTGATCTGGAACCTCCGCTTTCCATGCCTTTTGAAGCACTCAGAATGTGTTTGCTGTTTATCCTCTTCTATTTTCTGTGTGTATATGAAAACACATCTGATACGTGTGATGTTGCTTTTTTTTTTTTTTTCAAATTATTTCCATTCTTATTGGTATCTTGTACCAGCCCTGAGACATATGTCAGGCAGGCAGTAGTACTCAAGCCTTAGGATAGGATTTATTCAGTCTTCTGGCTTATAATATATAAAGCCAGGCCCCAGGCCCAAGGGTCTACTTTCTAATTGCATACTGTTTCCACTGTCTGTCTTTTGAATGGTTCATCTTAACCTTTTATAAAAGTGGCATTTACAGTTTGGAGCAATATTCACTCTATTAGGCTCCTGTTGACCTACATCAGGTTCAGTTTTCTATTTTAATCACCTGTTAAATGACACCAAGTCAAATGTTTCATTCATAAAAATGTTCTCTCAGTCCCTGGAATTTGACCAATATTACTTATTGCCACAAAGTAGATGAAACTTGGCCACTGTTGACAAAAAAATTAATCAATAGTCTATCTAAAGGAGAAGTAGAGAATTTTATTTGAGCAGATCTAAAAGATTATAACCCAGGAGACAGTCTTTCAAAAAACTCTGAGGACTGTTCCACTTGTTAGAAGTCAAAGGTACTTCATTGATACAAAGGTACCTCAAGGGAATTCTCTGGTGGTCCAGTGGTTAGGACTCCACGCTTTCACTGCCAAGAGCTTGGGTTCAATCCCTGGTTAGGGAACTAAGATCCCACAAGCTGCCTGGCATGGCCAAAAAATAAAAAAAAACACCACAAAGGTACTTCAAAATATACATTTTTGAGGCAAAAGATTGTACCTCAAAATGACACATATTTTTACATAAGGTTCGCCAAAAACACATAGTCTAAGTCTGCACATACAAAGCAAGCAGTAGGTCACCACGACCCCTTACAGAATTCGGAGAGAATGTAATCTTCCAAGGAGTTACACTGCTGATGTCAGAAGAAAGGAAAAAAAAAATTGATCTTTATGGTGGAGCCAGCATTCCCACCTTTGGGGAGGTCAAGTTAATGTATAATGCACACTGCATATCAGGGAGCGCTCAACACAGAGCAGGGAATGTTATGTTTCCATATTCTTGTCCTGCCTTAAAACGTAAATTTTATTCCATCACCATGTATTTTAGGGATGTGGAAGTTAAATTGTCCTTTATGGTACTTAGGTGTATACTGTTATTACTTCTCGTTCTCTGAATTGGATAATCTTCTGTATGCCTTCAATCACCTATCTGGTAGGAGAGATCCGCTGGTCTTATTTGGGGTAGCCCCCTTTTCCCTGGGGCAGTACAAGAGTACCAGAGTCTTCTCTAGCCTGGAACACTTGAGGAAGGGATCTCTAATCATCTGTCCACCCGGCCACCACCTATATGGTCCTTTGGAGGCAGACAACTCTCAAACGGTCCCATTGAAGCTTGGGCACAGGGAATGTTTCAGAGACTGGAAACCTTGGGGCCCAGCACCCAGTCCTACTGGGTGTTCCATTCCCAGCCGGATTCCCGTGGGGTGCTGATCACTGTTACTCCACGACCTGCAGACACAGGTCTCTGCCATCTGAAGGGAATTCCTCAAAACTGTCTGATTGCTGGGCTGGCCCATGTCTTCCTGTCCACTCCTTGGAGCCCCTCCCTGCCTGAAGCTGCTCTTTAAAGTAAAGGAAATGAATGGGCTTCCCTGACGCTGTAAAAGAAGCCCCAGTTGGAGGCTGTCTTTTAGGTACTCGGCAGCTACTGCTTTTGGTCCTTCATCACTTTGGCTGTCAAGCTTCTGAAATAAGAAGCGCAAAGACATGGCTGCCTTCCGGAGGGGGAGGAGATCAGCAGCTATTTCAATCTGTACTTAATATCCCAAAATACCACTGAAATAGTTCCTAGTCAGAGAGTACTTAGAACAGTTCCCGGCATTTACCTGTGTTAAATAAATTCTTTTAGGTGTGTTCTCATGAGGTGAGCAAAGACAAACCTAGAGTAAGTTACTTTCTGCCTTTATACTGTAGAAATCTTCCGCAGACATCTTAAATTCCTTCCAAAAGGGAACAGATCCCAACTTCAGATGCACATACTGTGACCTGGAGCAAGTCATTCCATAGTCCACTCACAAGACAGATGGTTTTCTGTTTCAGATTTGTAAATACTCTTGCTGAGAGCTTCAGTGTCACAATGGGTGAGGAAATTTATGAAAACGTCCCCATTCACAATGCCAGCGAATATCATTTTTTCTCTTCTGGCAGGTAAGTACCTGCAGTGGACACTTTGCTCCCAAGTTCAAGGGTTTCAAGTCTTTTCCTTTAAATAATACATTGAAACTTTCAATACCAAGAACGTTAATTTATATTAATCTTCCTTTTCATAGAAAGAGCTTCACAATAAACTCATCAGAGATTGCACAACACTGTGGAAATGAGTTCGAAACATCCTACCTTGGATTTGGTAGTGCGTATACCTATGTAATCACAAGGAAGGTTAGTAACTCATTGCACTGAATCAGAAGTTCCACTCAAAGTTTATTGACATGAGTCCTTGAAAACAGGACATAGTAATGATTTAACAGAGTGATATTAGGATCTGTATTTTAAACGAATTTAGAATTAATTCAGTTCACCACTAATTCTGTGGTTTATCATTGCCTTAAGTTCACCTTTAGAATAAAATTAAACAGACTGACCTGCTCTAAACGTTCACATTGACCACTGTCCTCATAGACTGTCAACATGGACCTTGGAAGCTTTTCGTTCAAAGAGCTGGCAATGTTTTCAACAAACCTGACTTCCAATCTGCTCTCTTATTTAAGAAGAAAAAGCTAGTGAACATATTTTCAAATCCTACCAAGTCCATCCCATCCCAAGGATAAAATGCAGTGTTGCATATTTACATTTAAAATGTGTACTTTCTGGATAGATCCTTTGGTGTAACCCTGAAGGTCCAAATTCAGTTTGCCTGTCTGAGCAATTTTTATTCTGGAAGCAGTCTCGATTTTCATTTCTTCTTCTTGCTTTTGCCTTACTGGTTTAGGATAACGGCTGCCTCGAACCGATAGTAGTTGAAGATATTTCCCCGAACACAGTCAGCATGGCCCTGCAAATCCCCCAGTACTTCCTCCTCACCTGCGGCGAGGTGGTTTTCTCCGTCACGGGATTGGAGTTCTCATATTCTCAGGTTTCCTATCTGTCGTTCTGTACACCCCTCTCCTACAACCCTGCCTTCAAATAATGCTGCTGGGACTTAGTTAAAAGCTGGGGTAGCCATGTATTTACAGTGTAAAAGAAAATTCTAGAAAGCATTATGGTAGGTTCTACCAAACAAGGTTTTAGAAATTACCAAGTCTTATTTACTGAATAAGAATATTACCGTTTAGGGAATTCCCTGGCGGTCCAGTGGTTAGGACTCCATGCTTTCACTGCCGAGAGCACAGGTTCAATCCCTGGTCGGGGAACTAAGATCCTGCAAGCCACACGGCGTGGCCAAAAAAAAAAAAAAAAAAAAGGAATATTACAATTTAGCATCATGAGTGTCCATATATAGGTATCTGAATTCCCAGTCACATGCTAGAGATTTGGGGTCCTAAGTAGGAAAAACTACATTAACGACCATTACCAGGGTCGTGATGGTCAGTGGATCCCACGTTCTGAAACAACCTGTTCATAGCAGGCTCATGCATAGGTCTGTGTCCTCATTATTTTTAAGGTTCACTCGAGGTCTCTTTGTAGCTCCCAGTAAACACACTGATTAAGGCCTAGCTTTTATTTTATTTATTATTATTATTTATTTATTTATTTTTGCGGTACGCGGGCCTTTCACTGTTGTGGCCTCTCCCGTCGCGGAGCACAGGCTCCAGACGCGCAGGCCCAGCGGCCATGGCTCACGGGCCCAGCCGCTCCGCGGCATGTGGGATCTTCCCGGACCGAGGCACGAACCCGTGTCCCCTGCATCGGCAGGCGGACTCTCAACCACTGCGCCACCAGGGAAGCCCAAGGCCTAGCTTTTAAAAGTTAAAAAGTAGTATTGCTTTTGTGACTATTAGACTAATGAGGCACATTTTGCTGATACCTAAATTAGAGCTTAGGTTCTAAACTATTTTATCAAAATACAGTGACAGTCGTCCTAAGCCCAGCGTGCCTAATACCTTCAAGTTTTGCAGTAAAGATGGTAAATATGAGCTGGGTAATCCCTTTCTGCGATGACCTCACAGTCTAGTTAAGGAGAGGACTGTAACACAGGTGACAAGAGTTCTAAGAGAAGTTTTGGTGACATAGCGGGGAAGCTCCCCAAAGAGCAAGGTGACAGCGCAGAGAGCAGCCTCCATCTGGGGGGAAGGAGAGGTTGGACTGGATGGCTTTGTCTGAAAATTCTTCTGTAGAAGCAGAATCGGTTCACCTATAGATTCGTCCATTTCATTAAGATGAGAGCTTTGCAAGCATGTGGAGAGTGAAAAACAAAGGATTCTTGTGTGTTCATACCACAGGAGCATTTGGGATGTCTTGTTATCCAAGTGATAATCCTTTTTGCATTTAGACCAGCCTGACTCTTAATGTGCATTTTGGGGGTAGACGGCCTAATTAAGGGAGTCGGTGAGTTAGCTGTGTTCCGCTCTGCGGTTGACGTCTACATCGGGACTCACTCTGTTTCGTTTCCTCAGGCTCCTTCCAACATGAAGTCAGTGCTTCAAGCAGGGTGGCTGTTGACAGTGGCAGCTGGCAACTTCATTGTCCTTATCGTAGCAGGAGCGGGCTCGTTCAGCGAACAGGTACTGGTGCAGACAGAGATCGCGCGTACCTCTGTCTTCTCACCTGTTAATCGTCATCGCGATGACCCTCCCTAGCTGTCTGTAGATACACGTGGTCCTCTTGGCTAACGGCTGAGGAGAACTGCCAGACCAGCCAGACAGGGCAGATACAAAAAGGCCTTATGGCCAAGTGCGCGCTGATGCTTCTTATTTCTACTTGGAAAATAACCAGATGTAACCAGATGGGGTTAACATACCTACACGCTCATATGGTTTTACTACCAAAGGAAACATCTTTCCTGGCCTCAGCGAATGCGGCTCAGTGGCCCCAAAGCAGGCGTGTTATCCAGAAAGTTTCACAGTACCTAAAGTTAAAGCCATCCTAAAGGTTGTCGTAATTTTTCCCATTAAAATAAAATGAGGGCTTTTCTGGTTCTGGAACTCTCCATCAGCACTCAGAATCTCTGCCTCATGAGGGAGCTGTCCCTTTACCCCATCAGACTCATTACTTCCCCCACCAGGTCCCATCAGAGCCTGTGCTAATCCTGCACGCTCATGACCTCAACGTTTTGCCAGAAGATAACATGGGGGTCTTACCTGCGAACATTTCAGCACATTCTTTTTCCCTCAAGAGTACTCTGCCTGGTGTGCTCTGGGTCCCCATCCTTCCAGGGGCCAGCTATTTGTCTTAAGACTCGGGTTTTTCGGAAATTTTGTCTCATCTTCTTAAAGTCCTGGGTGTCTGCACTCCAGAGCCGTTCCAAGAATGTGACTGTTACATTGGGCATTCAAGAAAAGCTGGCCATTCTGTATCTGTGGCAGTAGCTACCAGTTTCCCCTAACAACTTCATTTCCAACACCTTCGATCTGGATGTCTCTAGAAAACATACCCGCGATATATACATTCCCATAACCTGTATTGTTTTTGTTTCTTTCCTTGCTCCAACTTCAATTCCTTCAAAGTGGGCCGAGTATGTTCTGTTTGCGGGGTTGCTTCTGGTCGTCAGCGTAATATTTGCCATCATGGCCCGATTCTATACGTACGTCAGTCCAGCAGAGATTGAAGCTCAGTTTGATACGGATGAAAAGAAAAAGTACCCGGAAGAGAGTAACCCATATCCCAAGTTGGACTCCGACTTACAGACACAGCTGTGAATATCAAGAAGCAAGTGGAGGACGGATTGGGCCCAGGATGTGCCCAGGTGTCTTTCCCCTGGGGGCAGGACACTCTGTTGTATGGCCGCTGATGGGGAAGACTTCAGAACTGTGAAACAAACCAAGAAAGCTGTTCTCTAAGCAGCCAGCAATGAACCTAACACTCTAAAAGAAGTCCTTTTGTTTGTTTGTTTTTCAGAGAAGTCTTATTTAAAGCATACACACACACATACACATACTTTTACAACACTGAGTCCATACCCTGCCTTTAACTCCTTGCCTAACACACAAAGTTATTTTGGCCTAACTTGAATTTTTGAAATGGTGGCAAAGTTCCATATTGTTTGCATTCAAACACTCTATGGAAACAATGTTAAATGAGGCAAAAAGTGACTGTTTAGGCTTTAGAATGGTACACCATAAGGACCGGCTAGTAGGAACTGGTAACTTTACCTTCTGTTTTTAGTTTTGTCTTTCCAGTCCCTACCTCTTTTTAAATTATGTATAACTCAAAAAACTACTCAGATAAAGGCAAGTCATGATTTTTAGAGTTTCAATGGTATGAAATAAATTCTCATTCTTAAGAGTAAGCGTCTGTGTATTTGGGTGGGGGCAGAGTAAGAAATCCTTAACATTTCCTTTCCTGATTATAAAAGCTGTGCCCGCTCATTAAAATTTCCTCAGAAGGTGATAAAAGCATGAACAAAGCAAGACCCACATACAGTAAATTCCAGGAACATGAACTATCAAAGTTCGTTTCCTGCTTTTCTCGGGGTTATCTGTGGCTACACTGCTCTTTTCTACTAGGAGCTTCCCGTGTGCATATATTTATACCATCTCAAAGTGTTTTTCTCAATACTCGTGAGCATTTTTCTACTTGAATAAAAATCGTTCCAAAATATTATGAACACTTCCTGCCAAATTCATCCTATAGATATTTATCATATAACCATTCCCAGGTATCAGACTCAGAACGAGTCCGCTTTGGCACTCTTGGAAAAACGAGCAACAGTTCTCAGACAGACGTGTGCACAGTTCTGAATGTGGAAACTGGTTCCTGGGTTAGGAGCTTGGATCTCTAAGATGCTTCATGCACAAGCTTGTCATTGCAGTGTGGAGACGGAATGAAACAGACAAAGTCTAGAGTGAGAAACGCAAATGTAATGATCAAAGCTTGCTGAGGACCTTTTCTACCCTTTGGATCAAGTCCTCATTCCTTAACTGTTTCTTCTGTGGATATGTCACCTTTCTCTCTGATCTACCAACTTCTTCTAGTTCCTGGAATGCAATGGGTTCTCACTTCTAGTCAAAGGCAAAAGAAAAATCAGGTCTTGAGACACTTATTTTCTACCCACCCCTCGCCCACGCACTCCTCCTGGCAAAATGCTCTTCATATTCAGGATCCAGGCCACTTCCTCCAACGGTTTTCCTGTTCCCCAGTTTCGTTACCAAATTAAGTTGCATGGTCCCTGTTTGAGCCCTAGCCCAGCTGGGTTCAAGAAGGCAAATAACAAAACTGAAGCTGAGATGGACACAGCACAAGCTTTATTCATGGGCCAAAGAATGGAGAAACAGGAGGTAAGTTCACAGATCAACTTCTCACCCACCTGGTGAGAGGGATTTCATTTTAGAGTCAAGACGAAGGGAGGAGGAGTGAGGCTAATGACGGGAGGCATATGCATTAGTCTTTTAGCGCTTTTTCCGAGGGAGTGGAGCGCCACCGCATTTATCCTTTTTTGGTCCTTGATGTCCGGTCATGGCCTTTGGTAGGTGTGTGTCATTTGAGATGCTAATGTAGTAAAATCAGTGTATAATGAGACTCAGGGTCTGTTGGAGGTCAGAGTCGATTCGGGCCACCATCTTGGTCCCAGCTGGTTCCATCTGGGTTTGTTTTTTTTAATTAATTGATTTATTTATGGCTGCATTGGGTCTTCATTGCGGTGCGCAGACTTCTCATTACGGTGGCTTCTCTTGTTGCGGAGCACAGGCTCTAGGTGTGCAGGCTTCAGTAGTTGTGGCACGCCGGCTCAGTAGTTGTGGCTCGCGAGCTCTAGAGTGCAGGCTCAGCAGTTGTGGCGCACGGGCTTAGTTGCTCCGCGGCATGTGGGATCTTCCCGGACCAGGGCTCGAACCCGTGTCCCCTGCATTGGCAGGCAGATTCTTAACCACCGCGCCACCAGGGAAGTTCCCATCTGGGTTTTTTTGTTTGTAGCTTCCTTTCTTATCTCTGGACCCTTTAACTTAAAGATTTATGTTCACTCCTGCTAAAGGTAGGGGTTGGCAGGTTTTGAGCAGAGACCTGGAGCAGCTCTGGCAACAGTGTGGCTGTCTCTCCTCTGCACTCCTGTCACACACCCCCGGTGTGTTGTGACTCTCCAGCTTGCCGTGGGCCGGAAGCTCTCTGCATGTATCCTGTGATCCACTTAATTTCCGGAAGGTGGTTGGCCTCTTTGTGTTAAATAACAATTTAAAATCTCTTGGACCATGAGGGGTGAGATGGAAGAGGCTGAGGACTGAACCTTGAGCAGCGGTTTGAATGCGCCTCGGTGACAAGGTCTAGTGCGAAAGACTCGCTATAAGGGACTACGGATTTGCCTCTCTGGTCATTTCTACCCTCTAACTTACACAGTATGCCTTTGATGGAGGAAAACAACAGTCCCGGTGATGAGCTCTCAGCTCCATTACCTCACTCTCGTCAATAATCCAAAGAGAACTCATCCTAAATCCTCAAAATATATTCTGGTCCTAACCCTTCTTACAGCCGCTGGGTAACACGGGGCAACTCTTCACCTTTCAAATCTCATTTTCCTCTCCTACAAAACAAAGAGAACACGAGACAATGTGAAGTCTCTAAAATCCTCTGTTTGAGGGTACCTGGCACACACCAGGCTTCCAAATGTTGAATGAAGACCTGCCCCTCAATCGACTACGACATTAATATTGAGTATGCTTTGCAGTTGGACGAAAACATTAACTCAGTGTTAATGTGACCTCCACTGGCCTTTAAAGGATAAGAGGGGGGACGGGGGGCATCAGGGCACTTTGATCATCAGGGGTGAGTTTTCAGAGTGATCTTCCCTCTAATCTTCCCATTTCTTCCAAACGTAATCAAGACTGACGGGTGCGACCATGGGGGTTCTAGACAAAAGACTTTGGACAGTGGCAAGTGTCATGGGGCAGGAGTGGCCAAGGGGGACGCATGGGGCCAGATCCACAACCTCTGGTCTTCTGCCTTTTCCTTGGCCCCCATTTTTTTGTGCTTTACACCTTTCTCTAAGTTGCTGATCAGTGTTTAATCAAAATAATTCACTGACTTGAACATTGGCTGAGTGTTGAAGTACGATCCTACATGGGTTGGGGAGAGTATCTGGAATGGAAATGATTTCGTTGTACATAGCAGGATTTCATTGCTTATACCTAAAAGCCAGAATAGTTTGTGGGGTTTTTGTTTTGTTGTTTTTTTAAATTTTTATTTTGTGTTGGAGTATAGGTGATTTACAATATTGTGTTAGTTTCAGGTGTACAGCAAATTAATTCAGTTATACATATACATATATCTATTCTTTTTCAGATTCTTTTCCCATTTAGGTCATTACGGAATACTGAATAGAGTTCCCTGTGCTGTACGATAAGTCCCTGCTGATTATCTATTTTATATATACTAGTGTATATGTTAATCCCAAACACCTAATTTATCCCTCCTCCCCTTTCCCCTTTGGTAACCATAAGTTTGTTTTCTATGTCTGTGAGTCTGTTTCTGTTTTGTAAATAAGTTCATTTGTATCATTATTTTAGATTCCACATATAAGTGATATCATATGATATTTGTCTTTCTTTGTCTGACTTACTTCACTTAGTATGATAATCTCCAGGTCTATCCATGTTGCTGCACATGGCATTATTTCATTCTTTTTATGGCTGAGTAATATTCCATTGTACCATCTTCTTTATCCATTCTTCTGTCAACGGGCATTTAGGTTGCTTCCATGTCCTGGCTATTGTAAATAGAGCTGCAACGAACATTTTGGTACATGACTCTTTTTGAATTATGGTTTTCTCAGGGTGTATGCCCAGTAGTGGGATTGCTGGATCACATGCTAGCTGTATTTTTAGGTTTTGAGGAACCTGCATACTGTTCTCCATAGTGGCTGCACCAATTTACATTTGCACCAACAGTGTAGGAGTGTTTCCTTCTCTCCACACCCTCTCCAGCATTTATCGTTTGTAGACGTTTTGATGCAGAATATTTTGGACAGTGGTTATAACGTCCACATGAATCTTATTGGCCTATTCTTGTTTTGTTTCCACGTGTCTCCATAATTTTTTTTTCATTTTGTGGATGTTCTTTATTTCTTTCAGGGTACTAACATTTATTTTGCATCTATTTTAGACTTTATAAAGTTACTTTATTCAATGCATCTTCCAGTTTAATTTTTGTTGACCATTTTAGCCATAGATTTTTGTCATGCATTCTGGACTACTTCTGCAGCTTCATTTTTTTTTTTATAAATTTATTTATTTTTGGCTGTGCTGGGTCTTCGTTGCTGCACGCAGGCTTTCTCTAGTTGCAGCGAGCGGGGGTACTCTTCTTTTTGTTGCGGTGCACGGGCTTCTCATTGCGGTGGCTTCTCTTGTTGCGGAGCATGGGCTCTAGGTGCGTGGGCTTCAGTAGTTGCAGCACATGGGCTCAGTAGTTGTGGTGCAAGGGCTTCGTTGCTCCGCGGCATGTAGGATCTTCCTGGGCCAGGGCTCAAACCCGTGCTCCTGCATTAGCAGGTGGATTCTTAATCACTGCGCCACCAGGGAAGTCCTGCAGCTTCATTTTTTTTTATGACAAATAGAAGTAGTTAACACTTATTGGACACTGAATATGGGCAGACAGCATGTGTAGCACTTTACTGTGTCATGTTTACAAGCATGTGGTCCTTGCAATAGCCCTATAATTTAGATTCCTGTTATTATTCCCATTCCACAGAGCAGAAAACAGGCACAGAGAAACCAAGTAATCTGCCTAAGGTCACATCTACCATCTGGCTTAAGAGCCCAGGCTACCAGCCACTACACCAGCCTGCCTCTCACTGCCAATGGTTACTGGACAGTATGGATTAACTGAATTTAATCCTTATAACAATAATAAAGAAGGTGTTATTACCCCCATTTTAGAGATGAGAAAACTGAGGAATAACCAGCTTAAGTAACTTGCCCACAGCCATATACCCAACAGTTGACCAAGCCAGGATGTGAACCCAAGCATGTCTGAGTGGGGAGAAGTACCTCTCTTCTAATCACCAGGCTGTACTGTCTTTTTTCACGAAGTCAAATGCAGACATGTGATGGCAGGAGTGATGTACCAGGGACAAGGACAAAGGGGGCACTGGGGGGCCTCCAAGAAGCACGATCCACCCGAAATCCAGGTGGACACCCCAGGGCTGGCCTAGATGGGCAAGAGGGGCCGTGTGTAGGGAGGAGAGGCTGGTAAACCCTGCTCTCAAAGGATGAAACAGAACAGATTAAACACAGTTACCATGTTAGAGGGATCCAGGACCTCCTGTAAAGACCTTGTGACGTTCTGGAAACACTGGAACCCCCTCCCCCGTGGATCTGGGTTTTGCACGCCCCCATGGCCAGTGGGAGTCCTGGCGTTGGCGCCTCCGAGGTCATGGTGATCAGCTCTGAAGCTCGCCATGCAGGGGCCAGGGTCTCACGTGAGGGGCAGCCGGCTTGGGAGGCAGGGGTAGGTGTGGGCTACAAAGGAGGAGTGGCCAGCAAGTCACAGCAGGGGCCACAGACAGCGGGCAAGCTGTCTGGTTTCCTTTCTCACTGTGGTAAAACACATGGGACAAAGTTCATCGCGAACCATTTTGAAGTCTCCAGAGTCCAGAGGCATTAAGAGCATCCACTCGGCTACGCAGCCCTCACCACCGGCTGCTCCAGAGCTTTTATCATCTTGCAAAACTGAAACTTCATCCTCATTAAACACTACCTCCCCACCCCCTGCTCCTCCCAGAGGCCTCCAGCAGTTCCCCTTCCACTCACCTCCATCCTGTGACATCGGAGGCCTTTCAGGCTTCCTGGAGAAGCCCTGAGTGTCTGGGGCCTCCAGCTCACACCTGATCAAAAGCGATAAACAGGAGAGAGCCTGGGCCGCCCGGGGCTTCGAGGTGTGTCCGTGGGGACACAGCCCACCTCCAGCCCCTGCAGCCTGACCACGGAGCGTCTGTCCCCCCTTCCCAAATCCTCCTGACCTCTGACCACTCAGAGCCTCCAGGGTTTTTATTTTCTGGAATGTCTGGCTTGTTCTAAGGAGACTTCGAGGCTCAACAGATGTGTTTAAAGACTCATAAGGAGCAGGAGCCGGATCTGTAAGGTTGCTGTTCTGGTGCCCTTGAAACAGAGACCCTTGCACGTTTTTTTTGTTGTTGTTGTTTTTTCTAATATTTTCCAGTTGTTTTTTTTCTTTTAATTTAAAAAATAATTTTTGGCCACACCGCGTAGCCTGTGGGATTTTAGTTCCCTGACTAGGAATCGAACCCTAGCCCTCGGCAGTGAGAGCACAGAGCCCTAACCACCGGATCACCAGGGAATTCCTGAGAGCCTTGCATTTCTTAAGGTGGCAGGTCCCAGAGGCCAGTGAGGGGCCCTAAGAGCTTTTGCTGTGTGCAAGTCCGCCTTAAGTGCTGAATGAAGAAAGTGCTTCCCTTCACAGTTTCCGTTTCATACGTGGCTCCTAAATCAGTCTCTGCCCCCATCACCACAGGGAGGAGGAGGGAAGTGCAGGCCGTCTCTCACAGAACTCGCTGTGTAAGGCTTCCCAGCTCTGCAATTACCAGCAAAAGGTGCCGAGAGCCCCTCCTGAAACTGTACCTTTGGGCAGAGATGACATTCTCAGCTGCCCCATGCTGTTCAACGGATTTCAGTCTTGATAAGACTAACCTTCAATGAGTCATCAGTCTTACCTGGATCCTTGGTTTGGCTTACAAACCTGCAAAGAATTCTTAATATATCCCACTCAGCTACTAACAGTCACAACCCATGTGTGTCCAATAAGTATTAAGGCCCTACAGCAGGCAGCCCAGGCAGGAGGGAGGGAGCCCTCATGATGGAATTAGTGCCCTTAGAAGAAGTGAGAGCTCTCTCCCTCTCCCCACTGCTACCCCCTCTTTCCCTCCCTCACCCCTCCACCCCCAGGCAGCCGTCTGCAAGCCAGCAAGAGAGGCCTCACCAGAAACCAACCCTGATAACATCTTGATCTTGGACCTCCAGCCTCCAGAACTGTAAGAAAATTAATTCCTGTTGTTTAAGCCACTGAGTCTGTGGCATTTTGTTAAGGCAGCCCAAACTGGCTAATACAGGGTCCAACTGTCCCTGTTTGTCAGGGACTGAGGGAGTTCCCAGGACAATCCTGGGCAAACTGGGATGAGTTGGTCAGCCTAATTTAGAAGACAATGTATGTGCAGTGCTTGGGCTTCCTATAGTGCACGGCAAGTAGTAAGTGCTCTATAAACACTCACAATTATTATTTCATTCCTTCAACAACAATTATTTAGTAAGCACTTGCTCTGTGCTCAATGCAGTTTATTTTATTTTTTATAAATTTATTTTATTTTTGGCTGCATTGGGTCTTCGTTGCTATGTGCGGGCTTTCTCTAGTTGTGGCGAGCAGGGGCTACTCCTTGTTGCGGTGCACGGGCTTCTCATTGTGGTGGCTTCTCTTGTTGAGGAGCATGGGCTCTAGGCACGCGGGCTTCAGTAGTTGTAGCATGTGGGCTCAGTAGTTGTGGCTCGCGGGCTCTAGAGCGCAGGCTCAGTAGTTGTGGCACGTGGGCTTAGTTGCTCCACGGCCTGTGGGGTCTTCCTGGACCAGGGCTCGAACCCGTGTCCCCTGCATTGACAGGCGGATTCTTAACCACTGCGCCACCAGGGAAGCCCTCAATGCAGTTTAGTACACTAAGGGTACAAAATGGATAAAGCCTGCCCTTGTGGAGTTGGCAAGCATTTATTGAGTACCCAGACCAGATCGCCAGGGTCTAGCTGTGAAGAGTTTATGTAGGGATGTGTCAGAATGGGAGGACAAAGTTTGGGCAGGGAATGGCCCTCCATTGCTTCTCTCTGCTGTTCCCCGGCAGAAGCCACCAATCGAGGCAGTCACCTCGGTTGCTTCCTGTTTCTAAAAAACAGAAGCCCGAGAACCTGGGTAGCACCAGGGCCTGGTTAAATGACCACAGGTGTTTTGCCCAAGGGCCCTGGGCAAGCCCAGCCCCCAACTTTCCTTTTGACTAAGCAAAGACATGGCAAACTGCTCCCCTGGAAGTTCCCCAGTGTGGCCACAAGATGGCAGAAGAGAACATCCTTGGGAAAACTTGCCACAACATGCCAACAAAAGGCTTTTGTAAATGTCATAATTACCTTATTCGGAATTTTTCATGAATGCACATCAGAAGGCCTAATCATACACGGCGTATTTTTTTCTGGAAGTTCCATTCTTGGGACTGGCATTAGTGGACTCTATTCTATCTGGGACTCAGGTATAAATTCCAGCAGGGGTCGCTGTTCCTTGGGATGACACCAGGCAGCAGGTAGAAGCAACGGCCTTTGTGTGAATTGGGAAAGAAACACATTTATCAAGCACTTCCTACAAGCCAGAGTTTGCATTATCTAATGCACATCCTCATCCACTCATTTAATTGTGCAATAAATATTTATTAAGCTTCTCGTGGTTTCCAGGCACTGATACAGACCACGTAAACTAATAAATATATAATAGTGTCAGGTGTTGATAAATGCTATGAAACAAAAAATAAACAGAGTAAGGGGTGAAGGCTGGTATTTTAGAAGGAGTGGCCCAGGAGGGCCTCTCTGAAGAGGTGACATTTGAGCAGAGACATGCATGGAGTAAGGGAGCGAGATGGGGAAGAACATTCTGGAAGGGGTCCTAACAAGGGCGGATGCCTGAGATGGGAATATGGTTCGTGTGTCTAATAACAGCAAAGAGGCTCCCGTGTCTGGAGTGTGGTGAGCAAGGGGTGAGGGAGAGGTGACCCGGACTGATCGTGTAGGGCCTTGGGGGCCATGATAAGACTTTGGGTTCTCTCCTGTGCATGTTGGGAAGCTGTCAGACAGTGGTTCTCAATGCGGGCTCCCCTCAGAATCATCCGAGGGGCTCTAATCCCAATGCCTGGGCCTCCCTAGACCCAGAATCAGAACTCTGGGGTTGCAGCCTGGGCATCTGTTTTTTTCTAAACACGCCAGGGATTATTAGAAACCAAGGTTGAAGCCACAGCATTCGATATCGTGTGAGAGCACAATAGAAACTGCAAAAGCACGGCGCAAACACTGTGATTCGCGATAACGTGTGCCTTTCGGGAACAACTCTGGGTCTAGTAAGTGCGCGGAAGCATGACGTGGGTCACTGAGCACAGCTCTTTAATGCTATGAACTTTTTAAGTTGGAACCCCTATGTCCCATTAACAGCAGTGAATCTTTCCTGGGGAAAATGAAATTCCTAAAGCATCGTGAGTCATTAGAAGCTATGATGACCAGCATAAGAAATAGGATGATACAGGTAAAATACAGGCATGTCTCTGTTTCTATAAACTTGTCGGGTATGTTTAGATGTAAACTAACCAAGGCAAGGTTTGGATTTCCTCGGTGCTGTTGTTCAGAACAAGCATAATGAGATGCTGGTGGTCACGTCTCCAGAAACAGCAGAACTCCTCTCACATCCTCTCCCTTCCTCTGGGTCCTTTGTTTTCTTGTTCTGTTCACATCTGCATGTGCCCTGCTGAAGGCCTCTGTGGAAATGAGAATGCTCATTTTATTGAGCAAACATGTGTTGACTTTGATTCGAGAAAAAAATGTGTTGAGAGTTTCTTAAGAACATCCCCAGTGGTGCCTGGAATGCCCGGCAGAAGCATGTATAATTTTTAGATCATTTTCTCAAGCAAGGTGTGCCAGCCAAGGCCTCTGTGCCTTACCTTCGACATATCAGCACCTCCACACAGAGGAACTTTGAATATTACAAACAACTGCCCTGCTTGGACCCCATTTTGTTGCAAACCTAAGTATGATGGGATTCCTTCCTGGCCTGAGTTGGGGTCCCCATCTCTGCCCTGAGAAGATTACCAGCAGTTTGGAACATTGCCTCCATTTGCTGGAACTCTTTCCAGGAGTTCTACGGAACCCTGCCAGCCTCTCTTCTGGACGATCCTCCTTCCTGACCCCACTCCTCCAATCACTGGGCAGCAAAATACACCCTGGGGCCAAGAAGCCATAGACGTAGATGTTGAAACTGACGTTTCCCACCTTCAGCATAAAAATCAGTTAGGTGTGGCATTTAGCAGTGATGAAGTGCATGTGAAGCCTTTTGACTGGTCTTTGAAATTTCTGACTGCAATTTTAAAATAAATCAAAGAATGGTAGACCCTAAACAATGTGGTTTGGGCAGCAGAGATAGGAAACAGCACTGCACTAACCCTTCCTTTGTTCTTCTCCAGTGAGTGGTGGTGTGAAGCTTTCAGATTATGCTTCCCTTCATCAATAGCTTGGCAAAATTGTGTGCAGAGTGGCTGGTCACCTGCTACCTCAAGTTTATTTTTACAAGGTAGAGGTAAGGCACCCAGTAAGCTTCTCGCTAGAGATTTGATTGCATGAAATCTACCCACACCCACCTGAGTCAAACTAATTGTTCGAACCCAATCCATCTTGAATACTCTGTATTAATGTGGTATATTTTTTAATTAGTCTTTTAAAAATCAAATCAGTACATGCAAAGTCTAGAAAGGCAAAGATCTCTACAAGACTTGTTTGGAGAAATAGTCCGCCGTTTTCCCTCCCCTGGCCGATCCCCACTCCTTAGAGGTCCACTTTGAACTGTTGCAAACAATCTGATGGTTTATCTCCAAGTGGCATGCTTACATAACTACTTGTTGGTTTCTCAGTTCTCAACTTTATATATTAACTTCCTACTGTAGACAATGAGAATTCAGCTCTTCCTCACACCCCCCTGCCATTCACATCGGCTGCAAATGTGCACTTGTATTGGGGGGAGGGTGTTCCCATCCACTCAGTACAGCTTTATAGTGACTTTAGTTAGATTAATATTCACTGTCACATTGTTATGCTCATGTAAGTGCTGTTTTCACGTAAGCTACGTAGTGTACTAAGATTAGCTTTTCCTTCTCTGCAGATACTGTACTTTGGTTTCCCTGGAGTTACTTACTCTTTTAAAAACGTGCTTATTCTTCCATATATTTTTACTAATTCAGCCTCCAAATCTTCCCTGGTTTAGTAAATATCCTCTCAGTATGATCAAATACACTAAATGTTCTATTGATTTCATCATCTAAAAGAGGTTTCTTCTGGAGCCTTCTGAAGGACTCCAATCTGGAAGCCAGAAAGAGCCTTTTAAAAGTATCCTGGGGTCCCCTTCACCTCTCTGCTTTGTCACCTCCTGTCACCTTCTGTATCCCATGTCATCTTTTTTCTTGATTCTTTCCTTTTTTCTTCTTCTTTTTTTTTTTTTTTTTTCCTGATGGGGCACTTTTCTGTAGTAGCTTGCTGAGAAATGAAACATGGGAGGTAAATTTTTTCTAGGGTCTTGAATGTCTGAAAACGTTTTTATTCTACTTTCCCATTTGATCGACACTTAGCTGGGTGTAGAATTCCAGCTGGAAGCCATTTTCCTTGGGAACTTTGAAAGCATCCCTCCACTGACTTTGAGCTTTCAATGTTGCTATTGAAAAGCCCAAGGCATTCTGGTTATTGATCTTTTGTATGAAAACGTTTTTCTCCCTAGAAGCTTGTAGAATCATCTCTTGGCTTCTAGTAATTTGAAATCTCATGGTGAAGTATGTTGGTGTGGATCCTTTTTTTTTTTTTTTGCGGTACGCGGGCCTCCCACTGCTGCGGCCTCTCCCGCCGCGGAGCACAGGCTCCGGACGCGCAGGCCCAGCGGCCATGGCTCACGGGCCCAGCCTCTCCACGGCATGTGGGATCTTCCCGGACCGGGGCACGAACCTGTGTCCCCTGCATCGGCAGGCGGACTCCCAGCCACTGTGCCACCAGGGAAGCCCGGTGTGGATCCATTTTTATCCATTATGCTGGCTGCTCAGTGGGCCCTTTTTATCTGGAAACTCATGTCCTTGGATTTGGGGCCATTGTCATGAATTTTATTTTAATCCTCTCCCCTCCATTTCCCCTGCTCTCTTCTAGAACTCCTATTATTTAGATGTTATTCCTTCTTGAGCATCTAATTTTCTTATCCTTTCTCTCCTAC